CCCTGGCCACAGCAGAGAGCTGGCCTGGAAGAGGGGCAACCGGGACAGAATCCGGCGCCCTGACGGGGACTAGAACCTGGTGTGCCTGCGCAGCAGGTGGAGGATTAGCCTAGTGAGCCGCAGCACTGGCCAGCCTCCTCTATTTTTTCTTAATCACAATTTACATCCATCAGGCATCATTTGCTCCCTTCCATCATTTCCTGCACCCCGAACTCCTCTGTCCAAAACCAATCAATGTCATTCCAATGCCTTGAAACCATAGCCCTCTGTCCTGACAGCACAGTGAGCTGAGTCAACCCTGTCATCCTTTACATGCCCTGTGGGAGATAATGACATAGGTATGTGTCTTGGTCCCTCTCCAAAGTCATGGTCTTCATTGTAGAAAGTCTTTGTGTCTCCCTCAACTCTGTCCTACCTGTTCACCTACAGGGCTTCCAGTTTTCCAATCACATCTTCCAATTAGCATAGAAAATAGGGGCATGAGTTCCCCCCAACTTCCTCTCCTGCTCTCTCAATGTATCAGTTTTACTTCACACACCCTCACTGAATTTCCAAAATGGACCAACATATTACCATGTACAAACTTCCAATTGATTTACTACAGTGACTACAAAGGACTTTTCTAAGATAAATTCGACCCTGTAATTATCCTGGTGGTATTATTTGCCATTGAATTACTTTAACTGCAAAAATGGGAATGTTTAGGTTAGCATACAAGGTCCCCATTTCCCAGCATCACCCTGCCCCACTATTACATGAACCCTAAACTCTAACCAAGGCCCCAAACACCATTCTCTTTCTCACCCAGCACCTTTGCACCTGCTGCTTTCCTCAACTTACTGCCCACCAATCAGTTACTCGTTGTCATTCATCCACAGTTCAATAGTCACCTCCTGCGGGGAGCATCTTAGACATTTCCAGAGCCTGATCTAATTTGGGCTTCTTTATGTTCACCTTGTGCTAGAATAAAAAACTTCCTGGTTGACTTGTCTGCCTCTGGTAAGTTGTAAGTTGTCTGCAAATAAGGAGTTTCCTTTGTCACGGTCTCCCCAGGGTCTGGCATAGCACCAGGCAGAAAACACGCTCCAGTGCTGGAATTATTCAGCCCAACCCTCCCGTTTTCCAGATTAAAGCAATGAAGTCCAAAGAGTGACCCAAGCTGCGTCACAGCACACAGGACCATTTCTGAATGATCTTTCCTTCTTATCCCGCTCACCTCCTAGCCTCATTCTGCTTTCTCAAGCCCAGGGATTGTTTTTAAAATAAAAGTATCTGAGCCCCAGCTCACTTCATGGAGGATGACGCTAAGGATCTACTTTTTAAACATGTAGCACTTGATGCCCGTTTGGAATTGTTAATCACAGCACTACATCTTCAGGTTCTATAGAAATACAAATTTATATTGGAAAATAATAAATGAATAAAATACTTCCTAATGAGCACCTGATTCTTCAAGTCTGATCATACTGGAATAGAATAGATTTTGTCCTCAGACTAGCAATCTGAAGGCCCAGCAAGCTTCCTGAAATCATGTAAACTTATCCTTGACTTTTACCAGTGAAAAAACAGACTTAACACAGCAACAATTTGACACCAAGTTAGCAGCTGAGTTGATCTGAAGACCTCCCTTCCTACAAACATCAAGTGCTGCTTCAATACCCATAAGCACAACAGGGCCAGATCAGGAGGAAAGAGCTGATGGAAATGTCTTGCTGCCACGACCACCAAGAGTCTTGGGACAGTTGTGGCATTGCAGGTAAAACCTCCACCTGTTATACCTGCATCCCATATGGGTGCCAGTTTGTATCCCAGATGCACCACTTCTGATCCAGCTCCCTGTTAATGGCCTGAAAAAGCAGGGGAACATGCATGGCCCAAGTCCTTGGGCCTCTGCAACCCACGTGGGAGAAGCTTCTGGCTTCAGCCTGGACCAGCCCTGGTCATTGTGGACATGTGGGAAGTGAACCAGTGGATGGAAGATCTCCCTCTCCCTCCACTTCTCCCTCCTCCTCCCCTTTCCCCTCTCCTTCCCTCTGTAACTCCTTCAAATAAATAAATAAATAAATAAATCTCTAAAAAGAGTCTTAATGCTGGTGCCAAGAGGTGATGCTTCCAAGGCTGCAAGCTGGAAGCCTTAGAGAGGAACAGGTGACACCATAGGCTGAGACTCCAAAGCCAGATTTGAAGAACAGCTGATGCTAAAGTCAACGCCAACTGCGAATGTGTAAACTGTGGCACAGCACTCAAGACCCTCTAACGGGAGCAGAAATATTTCCAGAGTCAGTGCTAATTAAAGGAAAATGAGAAGACATGCAGTGTTTATCGCACGTCCTGATGCACAGCCAATGTTACATGAATACTTGTCTGGGTAATATTTTTCATTGGCTCAATAATTGATGTTTTTAAAAAATGTGCCCCTCTTCCAGGCCAGCTCTCTGCTGTGGCCAGGGAGTGCAGTGGAGGATGGTCCAAGTGCTTGGGCCCTGCACCCCATGGGAGACCAGGATAAGTACCTGGCTCCTGCCTTCGGATCAGCGCGGTGCGCCGGCCGCAGCGCACCAGCCATGGCGGCCATTGGAGGGTGAACCAATGGCAAAGGAAGACCTTTTCCTCTCTCTCTCTCACTGTCCACTATGCCTGTCAAAAATAAAAAAATAAAATAAAATAAAATAAAATAAAGCATATTGGGTGAGAGAGGGACCTTCGAGGCCATTCATCTACTTGTTACACATAGTTTTGCTTTCCATGGCTTCAGTTAACCATGGTCTGAAATATTAAATGGAAAATCCAGAAATAAACTATCCATAAGTTTTCAATTATGTGCTGTTCATAGCTGGATGACATCTCATGCTGTCTTTCTCCGTTCAGCCCAGGACATGAATCATCCCTTTGTCTACCACAACCACTCTGTATATGTGACCCACCCACCAGTCACTCCATAGCCATCTCAGTTGTCAGAAACAAAATGCCTCACAAAGTCTCATGCATAAGTGACTAAAAGATATGTGCTAGAATGTCCATACCAGCTTTATTTCTCATATTCAAAAGTTGCAAACAACTCAAAAGACTGGTATCAAGAATGCAATACTACACAATAATGGAACAGATGAACTTGAACTCCAAGCCACAGCATGGCGATTCTTACAGGTTTACTATTGAGCCAAAGAAGTAAGACACAAAACACTAGATGAAATATATTTCAAATAAAGTTCAATAACTGACAAATCTAACCAATGATACTGAAAGCCAGGAGAGCAGTAATCTTGGAGACTAGTGAGACATAATTTTATGCAAAATGGCAGAGATGAGCCTTCCAAGGTGCTAGTAATATTGTATTGGTGAGAAAGAGTAATGCAAAAAGTGTCTTCATTGGGCTAGCACTGTGGCGTGGTGGGTTAACACCCTGGACTGAAGCACTGGCATCCCATATGGGCACCAGTTCAAGACCTGGCTGCTCCACTTCCAATCCAGCCCTCTGCTATGGCCTGGGAAAGCAGTAGAAGATGGCCCAAGTCCTTGGGCCCCTGCACCCACGTGGGAGATGTGGAAGAAGCTCCTGGCTCCTGGCTTCAGATCTGTGCTGCTCCAGCCATTGCAGCCAATTGGGGGGTGAACCAGTGGATGGAAGACCTCTCTCTCTCTCTCTGCCTCTCCTCTCTCTGTGTAACTCTGTATTTCAAATAAATAAATAAATCTTTAAAAAAAAGTGTCTTCACTTTCTGATAAATCAGCAAGCTCAACCACTTATCATTCATGCATTTCTTAATAATTCAAATTTTGAAGTCCACACATAGTTTTCCATCACACACATTTCCATTAATGCCTTTGAAGACCTCTTGTATGCATGGGTTCCAAAATTCTTTTTATTTTAAAGACGTATTTATCTGAAAGAGTAAGAGAAAGAGAAAGAGAGAGAGAAATTGGTCTTCCCTCTGCCAATTCACTTCCCAAATGTCAGCAATGGCCAGGGCTAGCCAGGCCAAAGCTAGGTGACCAGAGCTCCACACGGGTCTCTTATATAAGTGGCAGGGGCCCACGAACTTGGGCTACCCTCCACTTCCTTCCCAGGCACATTAACAGGGAGCTGGATTGGAAGCAGCATAGCCAGGACTCTGGTGCTCCAATATAGGAAGCTGGTATTGCAGGTAGCAGCTTAGCTCACTGCATCTCAGTGCTGGCCCTAAGCTTCCAAAATGTTTGACATCAAAATAATCTTATCTTGTAAGTACCTCATATATTATATTTAAATGAAAAGATTTTTTAAGTTCATGCCAAACATTGGTACCAAGGATATATAAAGGTGTAAAATCTCCCATAAGTCAGCAAGAATATAACAAGAATAATTTTTTTTTAAATGGCAAGTCCTCGGGCCCCTGCACTCTCATGGGAAGACCCAGAGGAAGCTCCTGGCTCCTGGCTTTGGATCAGCACAGCTCCGGACATTGCAGCCAATGAACCAGTGAATGGAAGACCTCTCTCTCTCTCTCAGCCTCTCCTTCTCTCTCTGTGTAACTCTGACTTCCAAATAAATAAATTTATCTTTGAAAAAATAAAAATGAGTAGGATGGGTATTTTATTGACTTGTGTAGCATTGTGCAAGATAATGCTTATAAAATGAACTCATAATGGCAGTCAGGAGTTGGGGAAGGTGTGTTGGACCCAGAGAAATAGGAAACAGGAGTCAGGAAAAGGTTTGCCTTTTATATCATTTGTGATAATTGAACCACATGTATAGAGAAACCATTCAAGCAGACTAAGTAATGTTAGAGGAAAAAGAATACCCAAGAACAGCCTGAAAAATAAGGATAATTGATGGAATGGAGGATTGAAGTAATAAAATATCACAAAGTTATAAAAACCGTAAGTTTAACAAACAATTAGGGTAACATTACCAATCAGGCCTACGTTAGACACAAATCTCCTTACCAAAGCTGCCTTAAAAGATCTGCAATAGCCTGGAAAAAATAAGAAAACTACGTCAATAGGAATTTTTTTTTTACCTTATACCACTTTATTGAATCCAAAACACAGCTCTTCGGAAAGTGCAAGTGACACATCAGACTGTCATCCTGTCCAACATGTAATATTTGTTTGTACTCGTCTGACAAAGTAGACACACTCGTTCCGGAATTGTCACACCAAGATCTTTTAGCAACAGTCAGGTTTATGTGTATTCTGTAACAGTGGTCTGTCTCCCTATAAGGAAACAGCAGATTGAAACCATGTCAACTCAAGCAATCATAAAATCAAATGATTTAGCATATTTTCAAAATCTCTCCAAATCATTTTCAAGACCCATGGCCAATGTGCCGCAGCAAAAACAAAACAAAACAAACAAAAACAAAAACAAACCAAAAAAACATAAAATAAGCATTCCACAAATCACTCATTATAAAAGGGCAAGTGAAATTTACCCAGGAGAGAAACCCGACAATACCTTGACAAGTGAGAGGAAGGAGCATCACACACTTGGGGCAAATGGCTAGCAGGTGCCTTTGAGAACTCTGAAGAGGACACAAAGCACTTAGCTAGCATTCCAGCCCAAAAGGCACAGCTTAAAACTAACTGTGAAAAAGTCGGGGCCTTCGTTGTGGCACAGAGGGTTAAGCTGCTATTTGGGACGATGGTGTCCCACGCTGGAGTGCCACTTCCGATCCCAGCTATTCTGCTTCTGATCAGCTTCCTACTAATGTACCTCAGAAAGCAGAAGATGGTCCAAGTGCTTGGGCCCTGCTACCCTCATGTGAGACCCAGATGGAGTTCCAGGGCTGGTCCAGCCCTGGCCATTAGGGCCATTTGGGAGGTGAACCAGTGAATGGAAGATTCTCTTTCTTTCTCTCTCTCTCTCTCTCTCTCTCCCTCCCTCTCTCTCTGTAACTCTACCTTTCAAATAAACGAAGTAAATTTTAAAATAAAATAAAAATGAAACTAGATAAATGGCACATAGTAGTTCTATATACTGTTCTTTTACAAAATAAAAGAAAAACATATAAAGTTTGCTAAATACATCATGCATCTGGATGTCAAAAATCTAGGAAAATTCATGGTTACTTTCTTCTATAACAGGCAATATCTTCATCTAATTGGTAATAAAGATGATTTTTCTCCATTTTGCAGATCCCAGATTTAATTTTTTTTTTTTTTTTTTTTTTTTTTTTTTTTTTTTTTTTTTGGACAGGCAGAGTGGACAGTGAGAGAGAGAGACAGAGAGAGAAAGGTCTTCCTATGCCATTGGTTCACCCTCCAATGGCCACCACGGCCGGCGCGCTGCGGCCGGCGCACTGCGCTGATCCGATGGCAGGAGCCAGGAGCCAGGTGCTTTTCCTGGTCTCCCATGGTGTGCAGGGCCCAAGCACCTGGGCCATCCTCCACTGCACTCCCGGGCCACAGCAGAGAGCTGGCCTGGAAGAGGGGCAACCGGGACAGAATCCGGCGCCCCAACCGGGACTAGAACCCGGTGTGCCGGCGCCGCAAGGCGGAGGATTAGCCTAGTGAGCCGTGGCGCCGGCCCTCCCAGATTCAAATATTTTAAGCGCAGCTCTGACACTCAGATGAAAGTACATGATGAATGATTGTCAACCCCGGTTCATAATCCACAGCTTAACCTGAAGCAGGAGAACAGAGCTCCACACGCCCTCCACAGTTGATCTATTTGAGCTAAGACCAGCAAACAGAGGTTAACGGCCACTTCCCCCAGTGACCCACACGGTGGGTAATTTTTCAGAGTTGCCTTTCACTTGGAAAGGGGCTGGCAGTATTAACTTTGCACGGGGGTTCAGTTAATTTCCATCTGAACCCTACTCGCCAGTATGATCTCTGTTTTCCAGATAAGGAGCCAAGACTTAGATAGATCAAATAATTTGCTAAGGTCTTGCAAGATAGTAGGACAAAGTCATGAAAGTGTGGCTTCATACCAAATTTGGCCCACAGATGGGTCCTACCTATTCAGGGCCCACAAGCGTACAAATTGAAAACTCTCTCTCTCTCCCTCCTTCTCCCTCCCTCTCTCTCCCTCTCTCTCTCTCTCTCTCACACACACACACACACACACATTTCCAGACTCCCCTGCCGCCCCCAGAAGTATACCTTAGCAAAAGGACTTGAAGGACGCTCACTAATACCTGGATGCACCACTGGTCACAGAAACGTCTGCCACCCCAAGAAAGATGGCAGCAGTAATGTTGGAATACACACACTCCGTGAGCTGCTCTGGCCTGAGGCATCATTTCGATAGGAAATGATGCACTTTCGGTTTCGAAATCCATTAACAGATCTGTTCTGTTTTAAAATGTGTTCACTAGCCATTGTCTCAGAACTAATGTACTATATAATATCATTCTCTTCTTTGAGTTCTCTATATTTAATAAGAACTTTCCTAAAATAATCTATGTATAAAAAGAATTGTGTGTGTATATATACATACACGTATGTATATATATATTATGTGTATATATATATATATACACACGAGTTACCCATTTGAGCTATATATTGCACTATATGTGAGTTGCTTTATTTTAATTGAAGAACTTACTCTATGACACATTTGTAGATGCCTGAGTCCTCCCATGCCAAGGGGAGAAACAGAATCCAGGTGTGGTCCTGGTGAATTCGAGAATGTACATTTTGGGACACAGGGATTTTCCTAGAATTTTTATACCACAGCACATTTACTTTCCCAAATGTTATGGGAGGGAAAGTGCAATTAAAAGCAAAAGGCTGGCCCACAGAAGGTGTCTCGTTCTGCATACCAATCTCCTTGCACACATCTAGGGACAGGAAGAAAAAAAAAAAAAAACAGAATAAGCAACCACAAAAGCAAACTCCTGTCATGTTTATCGCTAGTTTTAACAAATGACTCGAATTTTCCAGCCAACTGGAAATGTTATTTGAGAGTTTCTTAAAAGTAGCCTGCTGGTTACAAAACATAATTCTGGTGCTGTGGCATAGCGGGAAAAGCCGCCACCTTCAGTGCTGGCATCCCATATGGGCGCCAGTTCAAGTGGAGCGGCTGCTCCATTTCCGATCCAGCTCTCAGCTATGGCCTGGGAAAGCAGTAGAAGATGGCCCAAGTCCTTGGGCCCCTGCACCCACGTGGGAGACCCGGAAGAAGCTCCTGGCTCCTGGCTTCGGATCTCTCTCTCTCTCTCTCTCTGCCTCTCCTTCTCTGTGTTACTCTGACTTTCAAATAAATAAATAAATCTTAAAAAAAAAAAAAACGTATTTCCAAGGTCTTCACATAGGGCAAAAGTCACTTGGCTTCCTCCTCAACCTGTGCCGTCTGGAAGGATTTCTCCCCTTTCCCGGTCCTCTCGGCCCCTGCGTTCTGTACATCCTGGCTGTTTTCTTTCTACGCTGTCATGCAGTTAACCCACTCTACATGGATACAACGCATCTCACCCCAGAATGGAAGGTTAAAAAAAATCACTTTTAAAGTTGACTTATACCAAGTTACTTCGTTTTTCTCAGAAGAGATGTGTGCTGTGGGTGGTTTGTTTCGACCCTGGGTGATAAAATAAGCCGCAGTGACATGCAAGAGACAATGGCGGACCCATGGGAGCCTTCTAACGTCAGTCTTGACTTGCACATTCGCCTAGGTTCTCCCGGCAAAGTCATCTCAGGGCTGCCCGAGCATTAGGAAGCGAAACCGGCTGCCTTCCCACCGCGCCCATTCCGCCCTGCCAGCCGGGGCCAAGGAACCAGCCGTGCCCAAGGAACCAGCCATGCCCGCATGGCGAGCGAGGTGTCAGGAGCGCGCACGCACGCCCGGCTGGCTAGCCGCCCGGGCCCAGGGAGTTCCCTCCCACGTACCTGCTCCGACAAAAAGTGGAAGCGCGATGGACACCCCGCAGACCAGCAGGCACCGCATCCCCATGCTGGGCTACAAGGAAGAAAAAAAAGAGGCTGCGAGGGGTAGGGGAACAGCGGGGCTGGGCGCGCCCTGGCCCTGGCCCGGGGCGCCCGCTCCTCCCACTTTGGATTCTGAGACCCCCCCCACCCAGGCCACTGACCTGGGGAGCCCTCCACCTTCAGCCTCACACCCCTCCCAACCTCTCAAGTCTGAGCAGTTTCCTTCCCACGCTTACTCTCCATGCCCTACTTTTAGCACACGGGGAGCTCAGCCCCACCTGCGGATGGTGTCCGCAGGTGGCGGAGGGTAGCTCGTGGCGCCCCGGTGGCATCCCCTCTGCCTACTGGCAGCGAGGCGGCTTGGGTGTCCCGCGCGGCACGGCACGGAGGATCCAGGAGCCCCAGTGGCGGCCCCAGCCCTGCGCGCCCCGGGGTCCCGCCTAGTTCGGTGCGCGCAGCCTCCCTGGGCTGGGATCTGGCGGTGCCTGGCAGACAAAACGGAAACCCCAAACTCAGCTCACCCCTGCAGAGGTCGGCTTGGGTGCGCCTGCACCGGGCAAAGAGCCTCAGGACCGAAGGGAGGAAAATCGAGCACTATGGGGCTGCACGGTAGACGCGCGCTGGCCGCCTCCGCCCAGGGACACAGCCGGCCTCCAGGTCGCCCAGCCGGTCCCGATCTCCTGTCACCTCGATCTCCCACGCCTTTCCTACCTTCAGGACCTCAGCCGCGCTGGGCTCAGCTGCGGACTCCCCAGCGCTGATGTCTGTCTGCCCGCGGCATTGGAGCGCGCAGGTTCACCTGCGGAGTGGAAAACCCTGAGGACCAGAGGCTGCGGCCGGCATCCCCACGCCTGGGTCCCTCCTGGCCAGCATGGGCGGCGCAGACCTTCCCCGTAGGAAGGAGGGTGGCATCTCAGTAGGAAGTGGGCGGAAAGTCTTTTGGCCTGATACTGGGACAGCCAATGAGTTCTTCGTCACCAGGAATGTGTGCCTAAATCTGCTCCACGTTATCCCTGTAAGTGAATTGTTCGTTCTTGCCAGATCCCGTGTGAGAAGTTGCAACATGCCCTGCTTTGGTCCATACTGAAGTTGCTGGAAGTGGAAGCCACCCCAGATGGTTTCTGTGGAATGTTCTTAATCTGCCTCCTGCGTCACACGCCTTAACATCTAATGCAGACAGCAAGGGTTCCTTGCCAATCCTGTGCCTTAAGACGTTCCCGCCTAAAACTTCTCAACAGCACCGTATCAACAGGAACTTGTCACCCTGGCCACTGGAGACACCTCAGACACACACACACACACACACACACCAGGGCACTGTGATTTAGGAAGAAATGTAAAGTATCATTCCTGGGGTTGTGAATGACAGGCAGCTAGATAGACCCAAGTGACCTGAATATAATGTTACCTCTTTACTTGTCAATCGAAAACGCCCACTTGGCCAGGATGCATCTGTGTGTGTCTCATAGGGACCAAGAAGGGGGACATGCTCTGATGACCACATGGATAATAAACTCCACCTAGAGATGACTTAAGATTCCCAGATGGCTTCACCCACGCTAAGGCACAACCCCCTGCCTCATAAAAAAAAAAAAAAAAACAAAAAAAAAACAAAAAAAAAAAACTCACAACTGGGGAGAGCCCTCATTTTGTCCCCTGACCATAGTTGGGGGTGCTGTTCAGGGTTTTTCCTTTTCCTCCCTATCTCTTAAAGCAACCCGCTCATCCATTTGGGATGGGTATTTCTCCATGTGGCGTGGTTCACCCTCATGTGTGTTGATTGCACATTTTCTTTTTCTTTTTTTTTAAGATTTATTTATTTATTTATTTGAAAGTCAGAGTTACACAGAGAGAGAAGAGGCAGACAGAGAGAGAGGTCTTCCATCCGATGGTTCACTCCCCAATTGGCTGCAACTGCCGGAGCTGCGCCGACCAGAAGCCAGGAGCTAGGAGCTTCTTCCGGGTCTCTCACGCGGGTGCAGGGGCCCAAGGACTTGAGCCATCTTCCACTGCTTTCCCAGGCCACAGCAGAGAGCTGGATCAGAAGTGGAGCAGCTAGGTCTCGAACCAGCACCCATATAGGATGCCAGTGCTTCAGGCCAGGGCGTTAACCCACTGCACCACAGTGCCGGCCCCAGTGATTGTACGTTTTTCTCTCTCACTGTTAAATAAATCCTGTCCCTACTTGTGTGCTTCTGTTTAGAATTCTGGTCTCTGTGAGGCACAAGATCTTGGAATGAAAATTAAGGTACCACATCATAATCACCATTCCACACATCATTGGCCAACTAAGTGTTCAAGGTAGACTTGGTGGTGTTAGACACAGTGAGACAAAAGCATGCATTGGAGCAGTCATTGTGTTAATAGCAAAGGCTCAGGGCTGGCGCCATGCACAGTAAGTTAATCCTCTGCCTGCGGCGCTGGCATCCTATATGGGTGCTGGTTCAAGTCCCGGTTGCTCCACTTTCGATCCAGCTCTCTGCTATGGCCTGGGAAAGCAGTGGAAGATGGCCCAAGTCCTTGGGCCCCTGCACCCACGTGGGAGACCTCGGAAGGAAGGCTGCGTGGTTCCTGGCTTCGGGATCCGAATAGCTCTGTCCGTTGCAGCCGAATTGGGGAATTCCACCCAGGAAGATGGAAAGACCCTTTCTCCTCTGTCTCTCCCTCCCCCCTGTCTGTAACCCCTCCTCTCAAAATAAATAAAATCTTAAAAAAAAAAAAAAGCAAAGGCTCCTGTGACAGGCTGAAGGCCAGTGGTGTGTGCATTGTTTACACTCTTAAAAAGTATGGAGGATTCCAAGGTGCTTTTGTCTACATAGAGTAGTCTGTCAATATCACTATATCAGAAATAAGAAGGGGTTTTTAAGCATTTATTTCCAGTTCAACTAACAACTGTAAACTCCTTACATGTTAACATAGATATTGGGGCCGGTGCTGTGGTGAGGTGGGTTAAAGCTCTGGCCTGAAACATTCCATATGGGATGTCAAATAAATAAACATAAATCTTTTTTAAAAAAACATAGATATCATACATTTTATAAAAAAATGGCTATGTTCTTTAAAACAGACTCATTAAGGAAAGTGGCCTTATTCTGTCTGGAAATTTCTTTAATGTCTGGCTTCATAGACGATGCACTGGACAGTGGACTCTCAGATCTGCTTTTACTCTCATATCTGCTTTTACCATATAACACATCATGTCATCTCTGCAAAAGTCCACCAGACATGAGTGAAAGAATAAGAGTTCAAAAAGACATAATGGCAAGGACTGGCACTGTGGCGTAGCGGGTAAAGCTGCCACCTGCAGTGCTAGCATTCATATGGGCACCAGTTCGAGTCCCAGCTGCTCCACTTCTGACCCAGCTCTCTGCTATGGCCTAGGAAAGTAGTAGAAGATGACCCAAGTCCTTGGGCCCCTGCACCCATGTGGAAGACCAGGAAGAAGCTCCTGGCTCCTGGTTTCAGATCATCATAGCTCCGGCCATTGCAGCCAACTGGGGAGTGAACCAGCAGATGGAAGACTCTCTCTCTCTCTCTCTCTCTCTCTCTATATATATATATATATATATATATATCTTTATCCCCCCCCCCGTGTGTGTGTGTGTATGTGTGTGTAATTCTGATTTTCAAATAGATAAATAAAAAGACAAATGGCAGAGGGTGTTTGTACCGCAATAAGCCACCATTTAGGATAATTAGGACACCCACGTGCTGTGTCAGGGTGCCTGGGTTTCAGTCCTGTTTCTGTCTCTTTTTTTAACAGATGCCTGCTAATGCAAACCATGGGAGGCAACAGATAAATGGTTCAAGTAGTTGGATCTCTGCCACCCGTGTGGATTGAGCTCCTGGTTGCTGGCTTCGGCTTGCCCAACACTGAGCCAGTGCAGGCGTTTGGGGAGGGAACCTGCAGATGGATGCTCTCTGCTTTTCTCTGGCTCTGATTCTCACTCTCTGCCACTTGAACATATATTTTATTTCCAAAGAAGTCTTTTATTTCATAAGTACAGATTTCATAAGTACAACTTAGTGATGCTTCCCACCACACCCGCCCTCCCATCCCACCTCCTCCTCCAATATTTTTAAATGCAAGCAAATTCTTAATATTATTATGAAAGGAGTTCCAATTTCACATATTTCTTCAAAGTCTTTCCCAGAGACTCCTAGGGCTTCCATACTTTGAATACCCATTTCTGAAGCTACAAGTGATCATTATTACTGTTCCCCAACCTCAGGACAAAGTGGGATTCATTTGTACATGCACTCTATTTAGGATTTATGCCCCCATCCCAAACAGAACAAAGACGTTATTTTTAAAAAGTCATCTGATCCACATACAAAACTGTTGTTAGGAGCCATGTAAAAAGTTGCTTCTGAATCTTTTTTATTTATGTTTTTTTTCCATTTTCCCTTCATGAATACTTGTATTTGTGTCCTTTTAAAAAAATATTTATTTGAAAGGCAGAGTTACAGAGAGGCAGAGAGAGAGATGGCGGGGGGGGGGGGGAGGTCTTATCTGCTGGTTCACTCCCCAATTGGCTGCAATGGCCCGAGCTGTGTCGATCCGAGGCCAGGAGCCAGGAGCTTCTTCTGGGTCTCCCATGTGGGTGTGCAGGAGCCCAAGGACTTGAGTCATCTTCCACTGCTTTCCCAGGCCATAGCAGAGAGCTGGATCAGAAATGAAGCAGCCAGGACTTGAACCGGCTCCCATATGGGATGCTGGCACTGTAGGTGGTGGCTTTACCTGCTACCCCACAGTGCCGGCCCCTTGTGTTCTATCTTGCTTTATAATTTGAGGAGTGCCATGTGGGCCAAATGCAATTGATGCAATTGCCACAAAGCACACCCCATTAGGATGGAACATCATGGTTACCTGGCAGGGCTTGGGTCTCAGGAATATTTCTGAATTACAACTTTCCTAGTGATTCCCTAAATCTGAAAGTAATGCTTCCGGGGATAGTCTGAATGTCAGATACATTTCCTGATACCTGGAGAATGAATCATGTGGCTTTGGAGGCTTGTAAACTTTCAATTAAAACCAATGAGAAAGCCTAGCATTTACTGCAAGTTCCCAATCACCCTGCAAAACCCATAGACACTGATGGCTATGTATACTGGTGAGAAAAGAGGAAGGAAGAAACTCAAACAAGATTTCTTTACAGAGGATTCAAGTAGCCAAGTTCAGGTTTGCTTTATTTGGGTCATGAGAAATGCTACTTTATGCTGAAACTTCCTGGATTCAATCATTTCCTTTTCCCACGCTGCTTTCCACTTTTATCTTTTTGATTTTATTTTATTTAATTTTTTTAAAAGATTTATTTTACTGATTTGAAAGGCACAATAACAGAGGGGAAGGGAGAGAGAGATTGAGAGAGAGAGAGCAAGAGGGAGAGAAGTTTTCCATCTGTTGGTTCACTCCCCAACAGCCTCAACAGTAGGAGT